AGGCAGAGGTACTCTGGAACTTCCAAGACTCTGAGGCTGTGTCTAGACTACATGGCTCTGTCAACAGAGCCATGTAAAATAGTTTATTCAGCATTGTCAAAGAAGCAGGGATTTAAATAATCCCTGCTTCATTAAAATAAAAATGGCTGCTATGCTGTGCTGACGATCAGCTGATCCGGCACAGTGCAGCAGTTTAGACACAGCGCGGTCGATAAGGGAAGCCTTTGTCGACCACTCCAGTATGCCTTGTGAAACAACACTCTCCATTTTCATCCATGTAGTCTAGTCATAGCTTGAGATTTTGTGTAGATGTCCTGTGCCTTTGACAAATTCCCTGGTATATGTGTGTTCTGGAGAAATATCTTCTGCAAGGGAGGTAACAGAGGGAGAGAGGAGTGGGGAGATTTAATCTCCTTGACTGGAAGAGCTGAAAGAATATTTGCTAGTCCTAAGTTCTCTGCTGCATGTTTTTCATAAGAAAGCACAATTTCTTGTTGTTCATTTTATTAGAAGAATACAGGCCTCTCTTGGATATTGAAGACTTGTCCTCACACAGGTGCCTTTCCTAGTGTGTTATCGAAGACCAAACTTGGACACACTATTGGGGCCAAGCCATCTTTGCTTTACATTGTAATATTTCCTGAATCTTCAAAAGCATTTTACATTCATGTGAAAACTTAATTCTTGGACTGTTTTCTGTCCACTTTTTAAATTTTAAAAATTTCTATTATAGTTGTATATTGTGACATTCTTGATGCTATACGCACGTGGTAAGAGACAGCTCCCATCTCAAAAAGTTTATACTCTAAAAAGACAGAAAAAGGATAAAAGGGAAAATGGGTAAAGAAAAGTGAAGCAGCTGAGGTAGATCAATGGCAAATCCCCCACTAAAACTTAGAATACTCATTCTCTATCGGAGGTCCTAGCAACTAGATGCACTGCCTCCATCAGTAGCTGTAGGTAAGAGGTTTTAAGATCAGCCATTTGCTGGTAAAAATGTTAAGTGACCTGTAGCACTGTCCAGTCCCCAAGAAATTTAATACTTTCCTAGAAAATTAAGCAGGTGTGTTATAAGAAAATCCCTACATCAAACACAGATTGATTATAACTCCAGCGAGCTGGAAATTTCCCAGTGGAAGGTTTGGTTTTGTCTGTTTGCTTTCTCATAGGAAAATGTTGTTTAATCAAACCATTTATTGGACATTAGGCTTTGATGGGGGAGAAGGGGGAAGGAAGAGTGTTGAAATTTAAGACTTTTTTATCAGGGCAAAATGTTCCTTTTCAAGTTTTTTTCCCAAATTCTGAAATATCTTCAGTCTACTCTTCTTAAATATTATGTAATATAACGCTTAAAGACAAAATCAGAGCCTCCTAATTCAATTTTGTTGAAACAAAACACTGCCCTTGAACCCCCAACATTTTTGTTATTCCTCCCTCCCTCCCTCCCACTGGAAATATTGAACTTGTATTGATGTCTTTAGTTTTGTTTTAGTCCTTCCTCCTGAAATATCTTCAGTCTACTCTTCTTAAATATTATGTAATATAACGCTTAAAGACAAAATCAGAGCCTCCTAATTCAATTTTGTTGAAACAAAACACTGCCCTTGAACCCCCAACATTTTTGTTATTCCTCCCTCCCTCCCTCCCACTGGAAATATTGAACTTGTATTGATGTCTTTAGTTTTGTTTTAGTCCTTCCTCCCCCCCCCTCCCCACGGCGGGGTTAGCCGGCGCGAGTGGACTGAGCCCCCCACCAGCTATCTGCTGCCCCCCCCTTTTCTGGGAGCAAGGGGCTCGCTGCGCTCCTGTCCGCCTCCCTGCGGAGCTGGGCAGGGAAAGGACTGAGTGCAGGGG